GTTACAGCGTCTATCTCCCGGTTAGAGAGTACTGTGATACTCTCAGAGAGTGCAGTCAGTCAGTGTTACAGCTTCTGGCAAGTAAATAAACAAGCAAAAACAAATAACAACAATCATTGTAACACAGTGACAAGATGAGTAGCTAGATGGATATTATTTTCTTTTTTAATGAATTCTCACTTATTACATGTAATGTAATGTATTTCAAAATCAAAATCTACAGAAAATTGAAAAAGCAGTGTTAGACAATGCGCATGGCAGTGGCATCAGTCTGCTGACCCTGTGATTCGAGCCATCCAATCATAGGCAGAGAGTCCTGGCCCACTGCGCCACACACCTCCTCCTCCTCTTCCTCCTCCTCCTCATTATTATTATTTTTATTATTATTATTACTGTTTGTGCTCATAACCTCCAGGATAGGCTCTGGACTCCCTGTCAATAGGACGAGGGGTTACAGACAATGGAAGGATGGATGTTATTATTATTATTATTATTATTATTATTATTATTATTACTGCCAGATGGCTTGACAATGTACTGCAGCTGTGTCAGACTCTGAGCACACCTTACACCATGCAGTCCCTCTGGCAGCGCAGCACCATAGCCGATCCCTTTAATCATGCCGAAACAGAAGAAAGAGGGCTTTTGTTAAAGACACAGCTCGGCGCCTCAACACAGCGAAGGGGGAATTAATGAGATCTGGCAGTGTGGCTTGTCAGGGAAGGTCTAAGCACAGCCCACCCAACACACTAGCGGCTGCCCGCAAGACAGCCAGCGCTTTCCTGCAGGAGTCATTACCAAATCTTCAGCTTATTTCCAGCACAGGTTGAGCATATGCCATATTACAGCTTCCATATGCACTGCAGGATATACACGTGAGAAAGTGAACTACAGCTTTGAAACCCACCATGTGTGGGATTATCAGGTCCTGTCAATCACTGCTTTATTTAACCTAATGGGAACCAATGAAGTAACTAATGAGAACCTGGTTACACCAGTCAGTGACCGGTGGCGTAGAATGATCCCACCCACTGTGAGCTAATTTCTCACCTCGCATACTGTGGCCCCACCATTTTAAACAAGCTTTTTCTCGGCTCCTCGTTAGCCATCCGAGAGGACTGGGGGATGAAGTCTTATGTCATTGGGTACACTCCCTCTTATCGTGGCTTTGGGATAACATTAATCCACATTCTGGAATTAGTGCAGACTTCGGTGACCAAGGTTAACGTATTCCCCATGACTCGCGTTAATTAGAGAATCTGTCAACAAGGAGCCTTGTACGAAGAATACAGTCCTTCTGCTCTTGCGCTTATTTATATTTCCCCACAAATTTCTGACAAGGAGTCTGCGGTACCTGCTGGTACACATATCTTTTTTTGCTTTCTGCGCTGTCATAATCGTGACAGTACCGGAACCCTCCTCTTAATTCACATTCACTCATGAACACACGCATGTGCACAAACCCTCGTACACAAAAATGACTGGTCATTCTGGATTAGATCCCATTCACCCGATTCCCAGTTAAAATTCGCGAAGCGTCAAAGTGACAGGTGGACGGGCTGACATCAGGCAGGAAAGAGACTCTTAAATTCAGCACCATGGCTGCCTTAAAGAATAGTGTCAGTGTGTCAGAGTTTTGTGCTTCCTGACTGGTTCTGGGGTGATATGTAAATCTCTATAGATGTCTACAGCATATCTCCTTTCACTGCCATCTGGTTGTGATGACACTATTTCAAGCATGAACTGCTATTTACAGAAAAGCAAACCTTTTCTTTTCAAAGGACACAAAGGGTGATATCCATTGTCAGTTGAACCCTCTCTCCCACCCTGTATAATATATATCCTACTGTTAACATTCCTACTGTGTCGTACTGGAAGCGCAGACTGACAGGTGTCCTTGTATGACTTCAAAGGCAAGATAGCATCTTTTCAGTGTTCTGGAGGCTATAAAGCACCCACGCTGATAACTGGATCAAAAAGCATAAATGTGGAAAATGTGGCCATATATTACTACAACATATATTTATGAACCTATATTCATGCACTAAAAACCTTTATCTAACTGAAATTTCCAGGAATTTAAAGACAGTTTGACAAATGGCCCTCTATGGGTATCTGAGAATCAGCTAGGCAATATATGGACTAGATTACCCAATCAAGTTCCAGCTGAACAAACCAGAAATCAATCACTTATAGTAGCCTTCCTCAAGGGCCCTCATGCAATAGGTAAACTGGCTGCTTGCATTATGTGTGTCTTTTCTAATGACTATGAAATAATTATAATGCTTTTGTCCAATGCAATGTACAAGTAATGCAGATGAGACATCAAAAGCATTAGTATGATATTACTAATCAAATCTGCTTTTTGCCTAATTGAAGATCAAACTTGCCTTCAAAATCCAAAAAAGTGCAACGGCTTAAACAATAAATAATTAACCATTTCCTGTACTCTGTGAACACTAATCAAACATAACAATGACCAAAAATCTCAGGATGAACAGAAAGATCTTGGTAACTACATAACTGCAAGAAGTTAAACTGTAGAATTAAAAGGATTAGTGGCCTCACCTCAAAGTGAAGGTGTGCTGTGGAATGTCAGTATGCAACGAGGATTCGGGAAGAAGTTCAGCCAAGATGGACATGCTGGATCCTTCTAGAACAAGGGTGACCTGCTGTGGCAGGAGCTCCGGCGACTCGGCCACAAAGGTGAGCGACAGCAGCTGTCCGTAGCTGAGCAGACGGTTCCCTAAAAACTTCTCTGCAGGGGGAAGAGGAGACATAAAGAGAAGTAGTCTTCATCAGAAACATCTCGTTCCCAAATACTCCCCAAGCTGATTGATCTGCGCAGGTAGGGGGAGACGAGCCTGCAGACCCCAGCAGTAGGATGTTAACCAGGGACTGACTGCTGCACAGCTGCTAACACAGAGACCTTCACGACAGTGAATAGTCCGATAAGGGCTTGGGCTCTGGCAGAAGGAGACATGATTCAGGTGGCAGACTTTACAGGGACAGGCTTTCACATTCTGCTGTGCCTGAAACAAAGATGGCTCTTTTTGCATCTTATTCATACTCATTTTGACGATAATTTGCCAGCCATAATGTTGTACTGGAGAATAATACCTGTGTATAACAAAATACCTTAGAAAGCAGCATATAGCATATACAGCACATATAAAATAGCATTTAAAAAACAGAAATCAGTTTGATCCTTGAATATAATTGCTCCCAGAGTTCTCATAACAGCCTAGCGCATTAGTCAACAAATGTTGTTCCTGCTAGAATACAGCCCACAGCAGAAGCCACACAATGTTTTATGCTGCCTTCTCTGTGTCGTGTCGTTCAGCTTCCTGTAAATATTGTGCCCCACGCTTCATGACAGTGATAAAGACAATTACAGCTGCAAAAGTCTTTTACAGTCTTCCAATGTCTTCCAATCTGTTCCATTTATGGTGCCTTGGGTCCATTACATTTTTCCATCATTAAGCACTTGGAATATTTACTGAAGCCCCTTGCTTCTGATCTGTTACGGCACGGCCTGCTACATACTCCTGATGACTCAGCTTAAACCACGGCGTGCCCATGCTCTATGATTGTGAGACAATTAGATTTTGCAGACTGGGCCTTGTGAAAAATGAAACCCAATGTCCTGTGAAAATCAGATAAAATCCACTCTACTCCACAGTTAAATATCATCCAGCCATTGCTGCTTTTCCTAGTTGGACCTGCAAGGGACCTGGATTCCATCTGAGACAGCAGAAGGAACATGGCTGGGATACACCCTGGACACGACACCAGTGTACGGCAGGGCACGCGCTCACACACCATGTGCAATTCAGAAACAGCAGCTCACCCAAATGCATGAAGCAAAATTGCAGAAAGGGACTGGAATAGCCAGTATGGAAACCCACACAGCCACAGAACAGAGGGCGGATTCAAACTCCTAATGATGTCGTGGCAATGCTACTCCACCATAGCTAATAATCAAAATACATTCAATGACAATTTAAGTGAATCATCTGATTTTAGGCCAACGAAAACCGAACTTTAGCATATCAATGAAATTTATCCAATTACAGTTAAACTCTGATTTAGCAGGATGGACAAAAGTTATAAACACAGGTAACTCTTAAATCTCATCAAACCAACTGCTCTCTCTTACTTGTTTATTGGCTACAGAATGTTCCAAATATGGAGTGAAAGTCTGACTCAGGGGCTGCAGGTGCCCTTAAGGTAATACAGGGTTTAACTAGCTGGGCAAAGCCGGGTCTTACATCTCAGGAAGGACTTTGCTGCTGAGCCCCTCAGCAAGGCACCCGGCTTCAGAAGCGTGTCCAGCTGCATGTATTTTATAATTCAAATGTATAAAATCAAGCAAGAAACCAACTCAGTTTTGCTGCTGGGAAGTTCTCTCTGCCCTTTGTTCTTAGGTTTCCGGTTTAGGGATGCTTAAATTCAGAGCTCTTTAGATTAGTTAGAACTGCAGCTAATGACTAATGAAGCAGTAAACGGCCAAACTAGTGCTTCCTCACAGTTACCTTGACTACTCGTGCACTTACTGTAACTTGATCAGAGGTTTACATTTATTTTTGGCAGATGCTTTTATCCAAAATGATGTACATTTGAGAAAACAGGGTCAGCCAGTCCCTGCAGCGATAGTGCCTCAAGGGTGATGAAATCACTCTGCCGACCACGGGATTTCAACTGGCAACCTTCTAATCACAGGAACGGCGTCCTCACCTGCTTAGCCACACCCCTAACTACCATATCCACACCCCTCACCTGCTTAGCCACGCCCCTAACTACCATAGCCACACCCTCACCTGCTTAGCCACGCCCCTAACTACCATAGCCACACCCTCACCTGCTTAGTCACACCTCTAACTAGCATAGCCACACCCCTCATCTGCTGAGCCACACCCCTAACTACCATAGCCACACCCTTCACCTGCTTAGCCACACTCATAACTACCATAGCCACACCCTCACCTGCTTAGCCACACCTCTAACTAGCATAGCCACATCCCTCATCTGCTTAGCCACACCCTTAACTACCATAGCCACACCCTCACCTGCTTAGCCACACCACTAACTAGCATAGCCACACCCCTCACCTGCTTAGCCACACCTCTAACTAGCATAGCCACACCCCTACCTACCATAGCCACACCCTCACCTGCTTAATGGGAGTACTGTAATAATACCAACAATTTCGAAAGGAAAAATAAAATAAAAATATAAAAAATAGGTCTCACATGTAATCTCAAAAATAAATTAAAAATATATATATGTGTATATTCCTCATAAACAAAAAAGTTCTGTAAGAGTAAAATTAGAGGACATAATTAATGTGGTCGACAGCCATCGGAATAACTGCTGGGCTGCATGGACACTTTGGAAAATCAGGACAACAGGCACCAGCCGCACGCAGTATAATGTGGCTCTGGCGTGATCAGGAGACAAAAGGAGTCTCTCCCAGCATAGCTAGCATGGATGCCAGCATTAAAAGCTGAAGCCTGAGCCTTGTAATGCTATTTCCCTGGTTCAGTGGCTAAGCTCCACAGGCTCTTCGGCTCCTTGTTCTCACCCCTAGCTGTCCCGTGCACTCTTATACCCCATCAAAGCCAATGGTTTTCTCATTTCCGTCTTCCCTTTGCAGCAGGCAGTGGATTGGCCAGCCCAACAGACAGCTGACCTATTCCGCACCATTTATTTTATTTACAGCAAAGGCTGCAGTGTAAACAAAGATTACGGCGAAAAGAAGGCAGATGCCATCTGCAAGGGATGATTCTGTTTGCTGTGGGAGCACAAACACACAAAGGTGTGATTGTTACTGGATGCCACCAAGATGTCCACACTCTCACAAAGAGATATTTTTTAAGAAAAAAAGTGTTACTTGGGGAAAAAAACTATATTTTGTTGTAAAACATGCAATCAATGCTAATTTCCTAGGTTGTACAACATGCTGTCACCTTTAAAATATTTGGTAACACTTTATTTGAGGAGGCACAAGTACTGTAACTTAGTAACTCAGTTACTACTGAAGTACATGAGCAAATATAGTAACTGTATGGAATACAGTAACCATCATGATTGATTAATGATGAACAAACATTCTACATTTGTGTCTGAGTGCATCCATAATGCTAAAGACAAAATTCCTGTTTCATGGTTTAAAGCTGTAAAACCGTTAATAAAATTCCCCATTCCATCCTGCCACCCCCCATCATATGAATTTGTTCACCATCCAATGGAAGGAAGTCTTACAATGTCCTATAACTAGGAGGATAACGCACAGCTATTCTAATAAGATAATTAGAATTTTTATGATATTGACTTAGGTTGACCTAGTTTTACAAATCACACTGGGAATAAATCTTACCTGGGGCTACGTAGAAGCCGAGGTCGTCTTCGGTGTAGGGCAGTAAGTACACCTCCCCTTCTTTCCAGAGCAGAGGGGATGCCTGGCCATCCAGGAACTCCCCTGTCCATCCATCCGGTTCTGTCACAAAGAAGATGGAGGTGCACTACCATGTCTATGCTGTATTCTTTCGACATTATCATTCATCAAACCTCTGCCTTGTTTTGTATTTAGTGCTGCTTAAAAACACTTAAAAGGGCAACATAGTTTAGAGGCTTTATTTTTCACAACAAAAGCCATGCATTACCAAAGGAGCCCTGCTGGTAAATGCTCACCTAAATTGCTTCAGTGGAATATCCAGCTGGTTCTAGCCAATAAAGCATAAAATCGTATGATGTCGCCTGGGACAGGATTTCCAGCCAAACAACTTAAATTACTATTAATTCAGTTAATCAGTAATGTGTTCAGAGATTAGACCACAGAAAGGATTAGAAAGGAGCCTTGGAGTCCATCTTAGACACCAGAGGGCATGAGTGCAGCCTGGACGGGCTGCCAGTCTATCACAGGGCACAGACAATCTGGGAAAGTTAGAGATACTAAATAGTCTAGTTGCATGCCTTTGGACTGGAAGAAAGCTTTACAAAATAAGAGACCATGCAGTTTACCCAATAACATAGCTAGATAATGTACTAGACCAACTGAGGTAAAATATCTTGCTTACAATTTACCTAAGTGTACTTGAGCTGTGTGCTTCTATGCACCTGAACTATCCATGATTCCAAGTCCATGATGTTTGGTGGCTGTGCTAAGAGCTTCCTCCAAACTCTACAAACTTTTCAAGTTCAACTTGGACACATTAACCATAATGTTGTCAGTGAAAGCGAATGCGTGGCAGATTATAATTACCGTTGTGGAAGTCTGAGGTGATGCTGATCTCAGAGTATCGGGGTGCGGAGGAGCACGCCACGGAATGGCCGAAGCAGAAGCAGGATTCACAGCCCTTTGGGTTCCGGGCATCCAGATTAAAGAAACCTGGCTTGCACCTTGACAGAAGAAACCCTGTCAATGCATGTCCCTGCTGACTCCACTGATTACCCACCCCCTATTCTATAAAGAACAATAACCTATATAGAAAAACCAACTTGTATAATAAGAGTGAAAAATGTTTACACGTGACTCCTTACTGTTCTGATAAAGTTCATTGAATCTGAAAAATGCTTTTTAGACTGCAAAAGTGCATTTAGAAAACTCATTCGTGTGGTGGATCAAGTAAGTCTATGACTGCGATTTTCCTACAAGACACTGCATAAATTAGAAAGCACATTAACAAAAAATGCATAAAACACGCATTCCGTAAGTGCAGTTAATGTAGCACAGATTCATAGATGCCACAATAATCGCACTGAAGTATCTAGGAAAGAAAACAATTTAGGATTGCAGATTATTAATAACCTTCTGATACAATTAAAAAACATCTAAACATATTCATCCAAAAAAGTAAACAGAATAAATTAAATTATGGAAATAAAAATACAGAAGCAGAGAGCAACTGCGAGAATCTGTGACGGAAGCTGGTGCAACTGCTGTTTTCTGTGCAGCAGAAATAGGGAGAACAGAGCTGGGGAGTCACCTGTCACAGGCCTGTCCCTCCACGTTGACTTTGCAGTGACACCTCCCATCCTGGGGGGCGCAGATGCCCACACTGCCCTCTGGATGGCACTCACATGGCCTGCGAGTGACAGAGAACCCTCTCTATTACTCAGCACTCCTTACAGACCTCTATTGCCATCATCCCCAGCCCCCTCCCCCTCCCGCACCGTGGCGCCCTCTCCAAGCACGAACACTGAGATGACAAAGTTAAGACGTCAGCCTACTGCCTGCGTCTCTCTCCAGCTGCCCCTGGAGGTTAAAAGAAAGCAAGAGAAATCATGGAGGATGGCACCTGACTGGAGGTCAGCACCCTTTGCAGAAGGGCTGGTGTGCTGTGCTGGGGTCTTGCTTTCATTCAGCCGGAGACCTTATGGCCTGTGCTGTGTTCTCTTTGTCCCCCATGGTAAACATGCTTGATCCCTTTCATCCGCCACATGCATTTTCAAAGAGCTGTATCGTGCAATCAATGTATTAAGGGGAGTGCAATTAAAAAGGAATTCAAATGATCCCTTCTCCACTTTGTGTGTTCCGCTCCGTTGGATTGAATAATTCAGCCTCCATCAGGAACAGGCATACGCTCAGCACCTCACGTGTTCCTTTGTTACTGTTCAGAGCGCCAGTTTTGGGTTGACGTTCACGTGTGCCGCCTCTCGGCGCGTCCGAGTAAGTTATCGACAGGATGGATCGATCAAACATATTTGCGTGACCCGGATTTCCTAGGGGGGCAGTGTTTTGATTAGTGATTTCAAGATTTTGGTGTTAAATTCTGTCACTTCTCATTAATATTCGCAGAGCTGACAGGGTCAGCGAGAATTAATGGATTAAAGATGGTCAGATCACAGAGGCTTATACCGACGGCATGGGGCTGTCGGCGCTACAAAGAAAGGCAGTGGCTGTGCAATTAGACCCTGGCATCTTAATAATGCTGCAATTCATAATTCAAATTATTCATCACGGTGGCTCCTATTTTATGAAGGTGATAGATGGTCCTTTCTGCAGCCTGATAATAGCTCAGTTCATAACCATTTCTTTTCCTGCTTCGCCGCAGACGGGTCGACGGGCGAGGAGGCGGATCGGCTGACACATGCACTGCTGCCTTACCTGCATCCAGCGACCCCGAGCGTGTGGAACCCGGGCTGACAGATGTCGCATTTCTCCCCAGAGACAGTGTGCCTGCAGGGACAGTGGCCGTCAGGGGTGCACTGCAGGCTCAGCGATCCTGGATGGGGGGAGGGGGAGGAGCACAAAGGGGTGGCGGTCAGGGCTTGATGCCCAAGGCCCCGGCATTCATTCTAGGCTGTTCCTGGGCCTTTCAAAGGGTGCCCCGTTGTGATGGTAATACTGGGGGGGGGGGGCGCTCAGATGGGTGGAGAGGCTTTTGAAAACATAAAAAACGGTGGGGGGGGGGGTAGAGCGAGTTGTACTTCCTGAGAAACCAGATGGGCCGAAATATCTCATACTTAAAAGGAATAGCGAACAGTCAGGGTGAGGCTTTGATCAATGCTATTACATGACCCAAGACACTATCCAGGATGGGTGCTGTATGAAATAGCAGCTGCTGACAGCCAATCAGCTGCAGCCTTTTCAAGAAAAAAAAAATCATCCATAGTCATGGTCATGGGATTTCAAGTAAAGGATTTCAGGCTTATTAAAATGCAAGTCAAAGTCTGTGTATTGACATAACATTTACATTTCTGTGCTCCGGAGCCACCATGAAAACATTCCAGAGACAATTCAGCAATTCAACCTTCTGTTATGTTTCAGGTCATGAGGGAAACAGAATAAGAGTAATTTTATTGGCCAGGTGTATGTAACTGCACTAGGAATTCACAGGAATTTTGACAGAAGCTATGGACATTGGCATGTACCCTTATGCACCCTTATTCAATATACCATATACTGTACCATTATGGACTGTTACGTGATATCTCATGAACCTTTATGCACTTTTATGCAATATAGAATATACCCTTATGCACCCTCATGCAATATACCATATGCCCTTATGCACCCTCATGCAATATACCATATGCCCTTATGCACCCTCATGCAATATAGCATATATCCTTATGCACCCTTATGCAATATACCATATACCGTTATGAACTTTTATGTGATATCACATGAACCCTTATGCACTCTTAAGCAATATAGAATATACACGTATGTACCCTCATGCAATATAGCATATGCCCTTATGCACCCTTATTCAATATACCATGTGCCCTTATGCAACCTTATGCAATATGCCATGTACCCTTAAGTAACAGTGTAGGACAGAGTTTGATATTGATGGGGATGAATGACTCCAAATTAGATATAAGGGCATTCATGTCCCTACTGTCCCCTTCGCCCCTGCTCTTAAGAATGAGGTGGATTAAAACGTCAAAAAGGCTCACAGGATTTCACACTTCACTAAGATTCCACAGTGAACTGTAAATGTTCTAGTTCTCTCAATTAGCTTGAACATTAATTTATTCATTTTAATGAACTGGCATGCTGCCTGGCTTGTGCCCTGCACTTCCCCGTGAAAGCTCCAGTCTCGTAACGGCCCTGTCCTGGGTCAGTGCTACGGAAGATGGGCCGATGGATTAATTCAGTAACTCATGTTGCTTTTGCTTTTATGCTAGTCCGGTGCAGTGAGGAACCCGCTGCCCCTTACCCAGCGCACTGCAGTTGCAGGGATGGCAGTGGTCCTGTGGAGAGTCACGGTGAAAATTCTCCCGGCAGCGCTCGCAGTGCGGTCCGTCAGTGTTGTCTTGACAGCCCACACAGCGCCCCCCGCTGCCTGTGCTGCGGTACAGCTCAGCATCAAATACACATTGATCTGCCCGGCCACTGCAGTTACACACTGGGGGTTGAAAAGGGGAGGGGGGTGAGAGAACCAAGACATCACAAGACTAGAAATGAAAAATCCCAAATTAAAGATAACTTACATTTCCCACACTATAACTGCTGTGTCTGTAAATGTACTTCTTTATTATTAACTTTCTACCTTTTCCAGGTGGTACAGGGTTTTATAAATGTACGCTTGAATTGAGATATTATGTGTATCTTCTCTGGTGTTTGGCATCAAAGAAATCCGTTCTTTGGGGAACAGTGTGTGCAGAGGTACTTTAAAAAGACACATCATTATATAAACCGCATCTTTGATTTGACTTGATTTCATGACTAAATTCCAAACTGGATGTTTTATTCCTGCATATTTTTTATTTTTAATTTTTGTGCTGGTGTGTTTTCAAGGGGAATCTTCTTTGACACCAGTAGGCATTAAAAAATATGCAAATCTGTCCTTAAATCTGTTCCAGAGTTCTGGACTGCCTGAATCAGACATTCCCCTGAGTGCTTAGGAAGGATTATGAAGGTATCGCACCATCAGATTCTGATGTCATCATTATTTGATATTATTAAAACATCAAATTCCCAATGTCAAAAGTTTGCGACTTTCTGAAGAGAGAATGCTGAGAATATTACAGAGTGCTGCCAACTTCCCATGAACGCTGGGTGTATCTGCCTTCACCTGCCCTCTCCTGCCTTCACCTGCCCTATCCTCCCTTCACCTGCCCTATCCTCCCTTCACCTGCCCTATCCTGT